TAGACGCCGTGCTTTTCATGAGCCGAACTTAATGCAAATGAGCTTAAACAAAGAACTTTGTTAATTAACATTAAGTTCGGCTCATGATAAGCACGGCGTCTAAACCGGGCCTAACTACTCATCGGCTTCACACTACTCACTACTCACTACTCAGTCACTAATACAACAGGGTACTAATTATCTTTACTAATACAATTATTATTACAGCCTACAAGTACACGTACACGGGGTACTCATCAATCACTATAGGACCTATAGTTGTTACGCGTGTACGTCTGTCTGTCTGTCTGTCTGTCTGTCTGTCTGTCTGTCTGTCTGTCTGTCTGTCTGTCTGTCTGTCTGTCTGTCTGTCTGTCTGTCTGTCTGTGGGTCTGTCTGTCTGTCTGTCTGTCTGTCTGTCTGTCTGTCTGTCTGTCTGTCTGTCTGTCTGTCTGTCTGTCTGTCTGTCTGTCTGTCTGTCTGTCTGTCTGTCTAAGATAAGATATTTATGATTGGGGTCCACTGGCATTGCAACTAAATGGCTCAATAGAGATGCGATTTGTAACATAGATAACCATATATATTGTACTGAACTTATGCATACCGTGTTTAGCGACGTAATTCGTAAATGTATCCATTTCACAACATCTAAATAAATCAGTAAGTTGACCACACGTGGATAGTGCAAGGTTGTGAATTCGTAGACGTCTTTGACCGCTCACGCTTGTATACAGCAAAGCACACTGCAAAATAATAATTTTCAATCATATATACTATATTATCACTTCAATCGAAGAATCGCAAGATTTGCCCTCATATTTCCTCCAGAAATGAATTATTATCACTTCGTATAACGATACTTACTTGTAAATAAGCGACGCTGTCTTCTGCGAGTTTATCATCATGCCTGATTTCAATAACAACCGACTAAACGTGAAGAAAATAGATTAAGAAAATACTTATTTAATTGGATCTTATATATTTTGAGCTGTATTCAGGGATACACAACGACGCTGTTACTGGTGAGAAATTGACCAGGGTATAGCGCTTATCCCACATACACTAGTTGCCACCGACGTTGGTCGTACTAACATAATTATGAGTGGGTGAGTGAGGGGCCGTAGCGTGAAATGAGGGGTGGCATCAATCATCATTAGCATAATAATATGCACAAGAAAAATATTGTTTAAGGGGATATTTGCTGATATTTTTTTGATGCATTTAAATTTACATAAAACAGTCTGGTTGAAAAAATGCTTGCACTTCAACGTAGAACTTATTATTGTAGCACACCTTCATAGGTATGGCAGCGAATTCAGTAATATTATTACCGTTTGCGAATTAACCAAAGCCAGTTCAACATCTGTTGTATTATTCATGTTGAAATTACCATAAAACTCGCACGGTCGTAGACCTACAAAAACAAAGCAACGACATGTGAGAGCAAGTGGGGTCAATGTACGGGTTACCACAGGATCAGATGAATTCGAAACCGTCCTCAAATTTGCCTATCTATCTATCTATCTATCTATCTATCTATCTATCTATCTATCTATCTATCTATCTATCTATCTATCTATCTATCTTTCGAGTTCACACGCGGCCACGGGGCGCATGGAAACGGACGAATTCGACTACAGCTAACAGTATGAATTTCTGTATAAAACATACTGAACTGGATGAATTTGGGTAAATGACTTATGTTCAAAAATCGAACATCCCTTATGCTAGCAGTTACTTAGACTTGTTCCAAGTCGACTTCTACTAAGTTTGGTCACAAGATAAAACTTTAAAAAAGTCCGTTTCCGACTCCTTGTCGGCGCCTTAGATGTCAGTGCAACCGGCCGGCATGTTCCTAGCCCCCCCGGAAAACAGTCAAAATGGCGGGCTTCTTTCAGAACACGTCGTGCTGCCAGCCCCGCCCACTTCAATGGAAACGTCTGTTTGGCGTTGGTCCTAATTTTATAAACAATTAAATTCCAAAAATTCCTTACTCTCCTTTGTGTACTGCAATAAGTTAGGGCACGTGGTAGGGATCTGTATAGTGATATCGCCTGTGCTTGGGGAGTTCATGTTTCGCAAGAATAAACCTTTAAAATCAGCGAGTTTGTGTGAACTCTGTACAATATATTTCGACAGATCAAGTGTGAAAAATATGACGGCAACAGCGCAAATGTATATCTTTATCGCAAGCAAATATAGTGTAACGTCTAACGAAGTATACTTTACCTGTGCTAGTCCTTAATCTCATGATTGTATCTAAACCAACGTTACGCTCAATATTTTGAATCAAATCTTGCTTGAATTGTTCTCCATGGGTGCTTTCCTGAAACAGCAAAGAACACCAAATATGACCTAATCCGTTCCCTCGCTCCTCCGCAGATGTTATCTATTCTATTTATAATGTTCTTCGGTATTCTTCGGATAGTTCTCGGAACCGAAGAACATTATAAATAGAATAAATAACCTCTGCGGAGGAGAGAGATCCGTTCCGAAAAATCATCAAAGACTAGAAACTGAATACGTTAACTTCCACTCTTGTTGACTTTTTAGATTTTCGAAATTATATGTGAATATGGGAGGTCAAAAGTACATCGAGAACAAAAGTACATCGAGAACAGCAAGCAGTAGTCGAGAACTGCAGACAACAAAGGAGAAGTGCAAACTGTATTCGAGAATAGTGTAGCTACAATCCTAGACAAATAACATGCGGACGCTGATAAAAAAAGGCTGAAATTTAAAGGAATCGAATAATTATACGCATATTCGGCCGTATTCCCCGCTCCCGGTCACTGAATAATTATACGCATATTCAGCCGTATTCCCCGCTCCCCCGTTACAATGTTGTTGCTACAGATACTGCAATAGTTGCCATAATGACTGAAGTGTTCATCAACATTGTTTCAGGGGAGGGGGGACCGACTTTACGAAGTATATATGAAAATGTTTCAAAAAATAATTTATTTGCCATGTTTGTCCGAGTAAATTTGTCTATGATTGTAGGTTATCGTCGAAAAATATGTAGAATCGTAAAGATTTGTGTTTGCCGGTTGTATGTTCATTTGGTCAGCGGTATACTCCTACAATAGCATTATAGTTGTGCCAGATGCTTCATAATTTTATCTAATTTGGCATATCACACTCTTAAGCCTGGTTCACATATGCCTGCGGTATGCCTGCGACTGTATCATTATGCCTCTACTTGCCGCCGAAATACCGGCAAAGTTGAACTCAAGTCAACTTTCCCGGCCTACCGCCGATGTAACTGTGGCACTGGAGGCAATCGGCGAACAAATATTCACATAATTCACGTTTTAAGCTACCACCGGCATCGTCGCCGGTACGTCGCAGGCTTTATCTACACGACAACAGCGTGACAAATGCAACGGAAAATCCGTTACATTTAACGTTGTTTTGCATCACTTTCTTATAGCGAACCTCGCCTAGCCTTGGCATGACAGTTTTTAATACCTCAACATACTGAACTAAAACATACATGACCATAACGAAACTCAATGAAAGCGATGATCTGACCTTAAAGAAGTTGTATCTGTATAGCTGTCCTCCTGTGAACGAAGTCAAAGCACCGATAGTTGCCACGTCCATATAAGCATTTGGAAAGAGGAAGAGATCAACTGCTACACCGGATTCTACACAACTCTTGGCAAGTTTCTCGTAGAAATTCGTCTGTGGACAAAGGATTGTCTAAAAAACGAAAAAGAGCATTATTAGTAAGAAAGGAAAAATGGATTTACCTTCCAATATACGCTTACATGTTATGCCCTTTATCTTTGCGAATGGGAAGTTTTGTTTAGTCTTGTAGTGAGTGAATTCTAAAGGTCCGTTTACACTAGTAGATGAGTTACGAATGTTTTAAGTATATATACCCTCGTCTGAACATTCATAACTCATTCACTCGTTCACATCCATCAGAAGAAGAAAATCGCACCAGAAATCGCATCAAAATTCTGTACTTTGAGATCATTGAACAGGATAATTGAAACCGATAACTCTTTTATAAGGGAACAACATAGATCCATGTATTGATCACTTGCCTTCAATGGCAGTTCATGCATCAAATATAGCTCTTGACGTATAAGAGTACAAGAGTCAAGAGGAAGGCGCCAAACTAAATAGTAAATAGACTAAACAAAGATAAATAACGGCTATAGGCTATAAGGCATACCTTCTCCTTCTCCGTTGCTAATACTTTTCTTTCTTCTCTGTTCTTTAATTTTCCAGGAGCTTCAGATATAGGCAGTGAAGTATGAAATATCAGCAGCTTGCCAGAGATACCTGCAGACTGTGGAGAATGATGGTCGATGATAAATGAGATAGAGTTTTGAATGTGATTCATAAAAAATCACGCAAAAAAAAAATTACCCAGTATAAAGAAATAAATAGTGCATAATGGTGTCTCATTTTTTACTATTTTCAAAATTATTGCCCGATTCCGGGGTTAAACCTAAGTTAACTACTGACAAACATGGTTATGTATAAAATAATAAGAAAATTAAGGGTTCGATTCCCACCGTGGCCAAGCAATTAACTTTTCAGCTTGCCTGGTGTGGATGCACACTCGGAGTAACATCACAAACATCATATTCACCTGAGTACATAACACCAACACATGCACAAATTTACTATAGTGTTTACACCCCCACAACACACATTTATACCTTTAAAGCATCCAGACCCGCTTGCACAACAGGAGCTAAAATAATCTCAGTTTCTCTCGTTTCTGAAAACATTATGGATATCTGTTCCACCAAACTAAATAATATAAAATAGTCATTTTAACACATAACATAACTTTATATACAATTTTAGACCTACAGTAATTTGGAGCAGCTACGAAAAATGCAAAGTTTATAAGCCCTTCGGCAGGAATCGAACCTTCAGCACTGCACCGGAATCGCAGGGCTGCAGGTTCTAAAGGGGTCTAAAGTTACATTTTTGCAGCTGCTTCCGGGTTGGTCTAAAATTGTATCTAAATCTTCGTTCGAAAATTTCATGTTCATTCAGTTCTATCAATCGAGACGACCAAGATCTTATTATTAACACATAATATTGTCCAGAAACCAAGGTAAATTATCTGTGTAGTACTTCCTTTATTCTATACATTCGTAGGCACAATCCCTGTAGCTCACTTTTATATTGTAAATACGTCCATATAGTATGATGCCACAATGTCAAACATTACTTCCTAAGGATAAGGCCTTATGGAAAAAGCGCATGCAGCTATAGATTGAGACATCATAAATTTGTCAAACACGTTCTCTGGCTGATTATTATTTATTACACCTTTCGATCACCTTACTGTGGTTTTCCACATGCAGGAACAGATGAGCCACAATGAGATGAGCCAAAATGAGATGGTCGAAAGCTCGTGTAATAAATAATAGAGAGGTTCAGATTTGACCCTACACTACAGCTTCCACTACCATTAAGGGCCATTAACCAAATTTCACACTATGTGGGAAATTTGGAAACAACTTTTCTTACAAGTCCTAGATAAACATGTCCCAATTCAAAACAAAAAAACAAAATCTAAAAAAAATCCTTGGATTACTAGTCATATCAAAAAACTAATAATTGCAAGAGATAATTTGAAAAGAAAAGCAATTATCACTAAACTTGAAACAGATTGGGATAACTATAAAAAAGCCAGAAATGAAACAAACAATCTTCTAAGACAAACCAAAAAGGAATATTATTCCAATAAAATAGCGACTGAAAAGCAAGATCCAAAAGCTGCTTGGAAGACAATTAATACCTTACTTGGTAAACAAAATCAAAGAACTAAAGTAAACGAATTAAACTTAAATGGCATAAAATTAACAAGCCCTGATGAAATTTCTGAGGGCTTCAATACCTTCTTTTCAAATATTGGACCGAATTTAGCCGAAGAAATTAGTACACCAGGATGTCATTCTAAAGACTTCCTTGACAAAACTAATTCTGAATTTACTGCATTCCAGTCAGTTACTGTTAGTCATGTTTGTCTTTTATTACGTGAACTGTCTGGTAGCAAAGCTACTGGCCTGGAAAAAATATCCAGCAAGATAATCAAAATTGCTGCACCATTAATTTCCGATTCATTGACTTACATCTTTAATCAAGCAATAACTTTATGTACTTTTCCACATGAATGGAAAATTGCAAGAGTAATTCCCCTTTTTAAGAATGGCAAACGAAACTTGCCAGGAAATTATCGACCAATTTCTGTGTTGCCAGCCATTAGTAAAATTATGGAACGTATCCTATATACTCAACTTTATGAATATTTGAGTGCAAATAACATACTTTCTGAACATCAATTTCATTCAACTGCAACAGCTTTACTTGATTGCACAAATGATTGGTACATAAACATGGATAGAAAACTTTTTAATTTGGTTGTATTTGTAGACTTAAAAAAACCCTTCGATACTGTTGACCATGAGATCTTATTGCAAAAACTAAAACTAGTTGGAATCACAGGAAGTGCATTTCTATTACTCAAATCATACTTAACTGGTCGTACTCAAAGATGTGAAGTCAATGGATCTATTTCAGGGGAAAATGACGTCAAATGTGGTGTACCCCAGGGGTCTATATTGGGGCCACTATTCTTCTTACTCTATATTAATGATCTACCTGCATGTCTGAGTAAAACAAAACCACGGCTGTTTGCTGATGATACAAATATCACAGCAGCTGGAGAATGCTTAAGTGATCTTGAAGATGCAGTAAACTCAGATTTAGAAATGCTTCGTAAATGGCTCATGGCAAACAAACTGAGCTTGAATGTGGCGAAAACTGAATTTCAAATTATTGGTACTAAACAGATCCTGAAGAAAGCTTCTGTTCAGCAACTTAAAATTCACATTCAAAACATACCCATAAAGCAGGTTTTTCAATGTAAAACACTAGGTGTGACTGTTGATGAAAATTTGTGTTGGAAGAGCAATACAGATAATATATGTAAAAAGATATCATCTGGAATATACGCTCTTAAAAGCATTAAAGAATATGTTGATCAAAAAACACTCGTTTCCGTATACAATGCTATAATTCAACCATACTTTAGCTACTGTTGTGAAGTTTGGAATATATTTGGTGAAACGCAATCCACGCGTCTCCAAAAACTTCATAACAGAGCTGCTCGTGTAATAGCATGTGTGCCTAATGAGGTAGATCAACAAACTGTGCTAAATATATTAGGATGGGAACCACTCAAGGAACAAAGAGTGAAAGCAAAGGCAAAAATAATGTTTAAAACGCTATATAACATGGGGCCAAATTGTCTCAAAGAATTATTTACTTTCAAAAAAGAAATATTAAACCGCAGTCTTCGTAACAGCTCAAGTACCATACGTTTGCCCAAGCCAAACACAAACAATATGAAAAAGAGTTTCATGTATGATGGAGCTTCCATATGGAACTCTCTTCCAAAAAATATAAGAGAAAGTAATTCGCTCTCAAGTTTTAAAAGAAAAATCGCTACCTATAGCTTATAAAGAAAACCACATCATTGTAAATAGCAAACTTTTTGTATATATTTTAATAATTTTATATTCTGCATGTTAATACTTCCTTATTATTTTACTTGTAACAATTTGTTAATGTTTTTTACACGCCCATTGTGGAAACCAGCTTCTGCTGACAATGTTAGCGTGGTTAAATAAAGTTTATCATCATCATCATCATCATCATCATCATCATCATCAGATGCATTTGATATATCCGATTAATCAATCAGATACGCACTAAGTCAGTGAGAGGTGGTGGAAACCTGAACCTCCTTAATAATCAGGTCAGACAACGTGTTTTTAAAACAAACAGATTTTAGGCCTATTTGACAAAATCTCTCTTGCTAGAATTCCAGCCTTAAAAAGTGTTCCAGTCTTAGAAGGCGGTAGCCTGTTGAAACTATATAACATAGTCATGCTGGCGTGTATCCCCTTGCTGATAGACGGTGTGACCGAATTCGATAAAAGTAAAGTCCTGAGCTTGCACATGATAATTTTCATTTAAAATCTGTTGAACGTATCGTATTTATACCTTTCAATCACCATTTTTGATTCTTTTGCATCAACCAAAAACCCATCAAGCAACGGAACAAATACATCATTGACATCTGAGACGATCATCATCTGTGGCTGTGCAAGGTTTGACTGCAAAGATAAGAATTTATATTGCTTTGATGAACATTATTCATAACAAATACCCAATATGTATACTCATGTTCCGCAAACTGACATACCTTTACATTGTAAAAGTGCAACGTCGAATTATAGGTTACGAAACCAACTTTGACAGAGGAGGAATTCTGACCTGGCAATCTGCAGAGAAAAGAAATACAAGCATAAATTACTCCAAAAAGTCGATAGTTCAAAAATGCATTAAATTGAGGTGCCATGAATATAGTGTATCGTATGATAGTATCGTACTATATAGTAACAATGGTGGACAGTTAATTCATGTGCGTATTTGGGCTGGCAACATCTTCCTGCCGATCTTTAGCAACACTTTTCAGTTCTTTTATTGCTCAAACTTTAATTACATTTTCTTTATAATTTTCCTTTAATAATCACGCAGACACGAGTTACAACTTCATTAATCGACAACCTTTTAAAGGTTGTGAAAAATAATTTTCGATGATTTATATTTTATGCATGTATACTCGTAATACACGCTTCTGAAAAGTACGTCACCTTGGCTATAGAGCCTCGTTTTCGTGATTGAGACGTTACGTTGTAACTAATGTCACACGAAAACGAGGCTTCATATCCAAGTGACGTACTTTCCGGAAGGGTGTATTATCGCGCACATGTTTTCAACGGCTATATTTAAAACTGGGAATCAGCGGTATAGTTACCAGTAGAGATACTTTTTTCCCACTCCTAAATTATTACGGTATTCGGAAAGGCCACTTTCCTCCCGTATCCAGGAGCGTTGTGTCCAAAACGTTGATAATTGGATGCTGATCGGGAGTAGTCAATACTCAGGTGAGGCGAAGCTAATATGCCAATTGTTTAGTAAACAAAAATTATGCAGTTGCAAGAAAATTTAAAACTTTTTGAGAATCTTATATTTACGAGTTTTAATTGTATTTTTCTTCCTCTACTGTTAACGTTGATCTCCTGATTCAGGGTCACTTTCTTCCCTAAATCCTCTGACTTCTTTCCATAAGCAAATGGTAATTTCATGCATCCCCGGGGAATGGGGAATGTGAACGGAAATCTAAAATAAAACATCGACTCCCCGCGGTCATGTTTTCAATACGTTTATAGTTATATGAACCAGGGAATTACCATCTACACTTACATGACTAAACTCGAGGAGTTTATTAATCTCAAAAATCAATCCCAAAACGTCTTCCAAAAAATCTCGATAGCCGAAATTTGTACAATCCCTAAAATCCCCAAATCCGAAGAATTCCCTAAAGTCCCTGAAACTTACTAAAAATCTCAAAATCTCTTGCACAATCCCAAATTTCACACTCGAAAATTCCCCGTACGCTGTTTTCAGAGTAATACACTCCTTAACTACACTCTCCATGATATAAAAGAAGTCTTACTTTGGTAGCCTTTCTAGCAAAGCTGGAATCTCTCGTACCAGTAACCGTAACATTCCACACTGGATACTCTGATAGGATGCTTCAATCATGAAAATGTACGCGGGTGGCTCTGTAGGTTTCTGGTTCTAGAAATATTAGAGACGAATTTGAAACTTGCTTCAGGTCTCTCTCCCTCTCAGTTGGTGGTGAAGGAAGAGGCATATGGCTATGGCCGGTTACAAACGAACTTTCTATGACAAGTTTTCATACGAAAAGTTGTATTTGCTCGTCTGTGTAGGCAACTTTGCCAATTCTTTCTACGACAAAGCACAAGTACACTTGTTCAAAAGCTAGGATGCTAAAGTACAAATTGTGAACAAAGAAAATTTGGCAAAGTAATTTGAGCACTTGGACACAGAATAGAGACTATACAGAAGCCCGACTTCTTGGTTTTTCCTATGATTTTGGTGTAACCGTAATTCGTCATCAAAACGCTGACGCCATGCTAGCCAGTGCTCTTATGAGAGGCATTCACCCCCTGATAATATCCATGAATATTATCAGGGGGTGAATGCCTCTCATAAGCGCACTGGCTAGGACCATGGCGTCAGCATTTTGATGACGAATCATGGCGTGGCAGCGGTCACGCTTTTTGGCTGAGTCGACCTTCTGTGTGTCTTTATTCTGTGACTTGGATACGGTTGGTCAGCGATCTATTGCTAAAATAGCTAATAATAGCTATCGTGGCGGTCAGAAAATAAAAAACTTGTCATAGTAAATTTGTTGTACGTCGTGCAATGGATAACTTGCATGTTAGACTAAATTGTAATCTAAGCAAA